TTGAGGTAATACTCTCCTACGTACCCTCTATTCTTCTCTGATCCTCCAGGAACAGCTACTGATTATACGCTGCAGGCACACATTGCTTCGTTTTGTTAAATGGACTCCTAACAACATGCAAATTATTTCTGGTGCAGAATGGAGCACAAAGAAGTCTTTCTAATGCATAGGTAAATTTGCTTCAACTCTAGCATGTGCTGTTTGCTTTCTAGAAAAGACCTGAAGAGCTACAACCTCTCTGCCACACAGCATCGCACTGTTTCCAAATGAAACTTCACCTTTGTTTCAACAAGTATTACAGGAAGAAAAACAACATTAGTGACCCAACCAATCTATCCATTTGATAAATACAGTGTTTACAGTAAGTTTTAAAATAGGCTTCTCAATTTTTGCTGAAACAAAAAGTCCACTTAAGCTGTTGAGCAGAATCAAGTTCTGGCATGAAGCCACTCGATGGGACTTCCTCCCACACAAAAAAAATCAATTTCCTCAAAGTACTTTGTAGACTATAGCAGTAAATTGTATAACCTAGAAACATGCTACATTAGACCAAAAAACCACCCAAGAATCAATTACAGTACATTGAGTCACAATGCCCCAAGAATCAATTCTCCTGTCACCGTTTTATCTACTGACATTATTCTGGGATGTTGTCATTCAACACAGTTACAGGACAGAGGAGACAGCATCAATGAGGTGCTGGAAATGTGCAGCCACATCCAGCTACCACGAAACACCTTTCAAGTTAAGCCCTTTAGAAGCCGTGGGAAAACGGGGCTAAGTATGATTTTAAAAAGGCAATCTCTCAGACCTCAAAAGCAAGGATATTGCATTTACACCTTAAAGGGAAAGCTCCTTCACACACACTGATGCCTGTACCCCTGTCAGAGCACGGACACGACCTTCAGGGTCCACTCTCAACGTAGCATGGAAGGAACAAGGTGCAGAACTCCCAGTAACGTTAACAGGAGTTAGACAGCAACGCCCCTTCATACCATTGAATTATTAAACAGCTTATGTATTGTGTGTGGAAAGAAATCCTCAGTTTTGTATGGAGAAAGCAAATACTGAAACAGAAACAACTTTTAGCACAACAGATGTATTTACTTACAGCATGCAAGGTTCGTTTTTATGTATTCGAGCAGCTGACTGCCACTAACAGCCCTTGAGTACTTACAAGTTCAAAATCACAATCTTCACATAAGTAGCAATTGCTTACAGAAAGTCCAGGACACTCCCTGGGAAATAAGCAAGAAATGGAGCAAAAAAACCTGAAAGCAGTAATAAAAACTAGTAGCAAAGGAAAACATAAGATTTTTAAATCCAGACAATTTAATACTGTTCTGGTAAAAAAAAAAAAAGAAGACACATACCACATTTAGAGTTGCCATTTTAGAAGAAATGCATCTGTTTGGTTTTTTTTTTTAAATTATTATTTTTTCCAGGAGAAAAGCTGTATATAACCTTAAAAACCCCCCAAACAAGTAAACAAACAAAATGCAACTCCCCTTTGGTTTGCCAATTTACCTTAAAATAGCTTCTCCACCTCTCCCTTTCCCTCTCCATCCCCCAATTTGCAAGGTAAGGGGTAAGGCAAATGCGAGCAGAGGCTGAAGAGCTTCACAGGTGATCACACAGGACAAAGACACTTCAACCCCACTTTGTAGTATGGGAAGTCAAAGTAACAGATTTTTATAAACATGAAACTTATTTTCAAAATAACAGATTCTAAGACTTACCCAAGACATAATGCATGTGTTAGTCCTCTCTGAGGGTCAGGTCACAAAAAATCCTGTTCCTACGTTTAAGGCAGTGTAAGACTGATTTGAGTCTCTTCAACCTCTTGAAAAACAGAATTTTGTGCCAAGTTACATTCTACGTGACTGCTACTTTCAGGTTTTCTTTCACACAAATGTAACTCATAGCTTCCTGCAGTAAATGCGTACCTACATCTGCTTCTATACAGTGGCAGTATTTCTCTCTTTAGGACTATACAACCTGGAACTGAGGAAGTTCACTAGCAGCGACATGTGAAAATGTTTTTGCACTACTTCATGAGAGGTTTCAAGTGTATTGTCCTTCTGAAAAGACGTTTAACTACCTTTTAAAGCTATGTGAAATTTATTTATAAATAATTTGGTACCAGCTGATGCTCATACTAGAAACACTTTTCACGTTTAACTCTAATAGCTTAGGGCAAAGAAAGTGCTCCACTTTTACCTACTGTTTTGTTATGCCTGATTTGAAAGAATCTTAGTTTATTATTAAACAAAAATATACCAAAATACAAATATTTACGTTGCATTTTTACATTTCTGCTATTCTTTACTCTATTACAGTATTCATATTGCATGATATTTTGTGCTAAGCTGCCCTCTTAAGCCTAGCCCCTGATAAAACATGGAAATAGAATAGTAACACTTATTTCATGTAAACTTCAGTAAAGTAGATGCAGTCCTAGAGACAGGGTTGCAAAGGTGCCATATAAACATTCTGATATACATTTCCTGTGTATTAGGCTATGTGGTACATGGAACGTGACATTTTGAAGTTACCCAATGTAATGTATAAAAATATAAAATATATATTTATGAGTAACAGTAGAATAAGCTACAGTGCAATTTTCCTTTGCCTGTTGAAAGCCCTACCTGCATATAATCTTTTTCACCCATTCTAGATCTTCTGTAGTGGATTTTATTTTCTATTAACAGTACAAAAGAGCAAGCATAGCTAGAAAAGACAGCTTTAGGAACACTCTTATGCTGTAAACTTGGAAGTTCCCAGATATATACCTGAAAAAAATTAGTTTTGCTCACTTGTCTCTTCTGTGCTAGAATTTAAACATGTTTCACTATAAACTGTAAAGCTAGGATATTTAAGGAGAATATGCTCTAAATTTCAGATAAAGTTATCCTATTATTTTCGCCAGTTCTCAGACTAATGTAATTTGAACTACACCACTTGCTCAGGGCTTTAAGCGTAAGGCATTTCGTGTACATTCCTCCCAGCTATTTATATAATGACTATCTCAGTGTACAAAGCCAAACTAGTGGAAATCCCTGCCTCAAAACCTTGGAAACCAATTTGCCTTTTACTGCACATTCAGCATTAAACTACAAAAGAGGAACAGATATAAAGATCAAATCCAGAAATACGCAGTGAAACAAGCAAACCATTTTCTACTCGGGAAGGTCTTTTCAGCTACAGGAGTTGTTTAACACGGTCTCAGTTCTGAATACATCGGTTTGAATACATTCATAGCGGTGCATTCTGAGTGCACGGAAGAAACGCATCAGAAAAGCTGGCTTTTCACATCATCCAATGTCAGCGTACCGTAACTTTGCTTTGAGGAAAGAGATACAAATTTGTTAATTTACATATTAACAGGCTGGAGATATGAGCTCCAATACAAAAAAACCCTTCAAATTCCAAGTATTGTTTACAAAAAATGTAAGCTTTATATTCTATCTAATCACTATACTTCCCAACCAAGTTATGCTTTCCCTGGAAAAAAAGGTATAATACAAAAGTCAGTCTTTAATGTCTGGCCAGACAATAAGACAGCTCTTGCTGCAATGACGGTTCCTGACGTGGAAAGAACAGATTAGGCGACATATTAACACAGCCAGAACGAAAGGCAAAAGAGGCACACAAAATTACAGTTGAAGGGTCATATTCTACTCATCACTGGAAAAAGGATAATGAAAAGCTGAAAAGTGCATAATAATTCAGTAAAATTTAGATATGCACAAACCGTTTATGCATTGACCATACTGTGTTGACTGCTCACAATCTATCAGAATTATTAAAAATTTAATTTTATTATTATATTGTCTTATAGTTATCTAAATTGGGTACAAGTTATTATAACTTTAAATATAGTATGCTAATGCATAAAAATACTTATTTCTTTTCTAGAGTAAGGATTATATTTTCTAAGCAAATATCTAAAAATAATGGTCCTTCTAAATTAATTTGGAATAATAAGTGAGGCCCATTTTGCAGAATGGGGTGGTTTTATTGTTTATAGAATCAATTTTGAGTATTTGTCCACTGTATAAACAATCTCCAGAAAAATATATCCTCTTCCAGTAACTTACAATACACATTAAAAACTCTTACAAAAGGGATTATTGTCCATTTAGAACATCTTGAGCCTAAGGACACAATTCTTGGGTCACTTCATTTATGCAATTTTGATCAGGCTAAACTGAATATGATATGAATATGGTTAATTTGAACCATGCCAGCTATGTGGACAATCTAACATTTAAAAATATCTGCCTAATTACATAGGATTTTAAATAAAGTCGGGCGTTTTTACATCACAGTATATATGGCATTTCTTAATTTAGCAACAGAAAGGCACAGTTATTAAACCATAAAATACAGTACCTGAATCATAGATACTCTAGTGATATCTACCAATGCCAATCCAGACATTTTACTCTGTAGAGAGGGCTAAAGAAAAAGGCTTCTGTTTGCCTTTTTTTAGAAAAGCTTAACCTCATCGCAAAGTTTGGTCCATTAGAAGTGCCTATTAGCTGAAACATCTTGAAGCAGGAAAGAACAGAGGAAAGCAAATTCAGCAGTCTATGGTCCAACAACTCAAATAAATTACTATGAAATGGCAAACAGATTACGAATGGAGCTTTCAGATTAGCTGTCAGACATACCTGTTAAAAGTCAATGTATACAGGTACAGTGTGACAGACATTCCAGATACATTCATTGCATCACACACACAGACTTTGTTACAGCAATAAGTTTAGACAGTGCATTTACAGAGCTCAGCACTTCTCACGGACTGGTATTTGACTTCTGGCCCCATACCATACCCAAAGATGTGCAGAGTTCTTTAAATGCTTTGCCTGTTATGTATTGCTGTTAAAGTAAAGACCCTGCTAAAGCCAAGTTCACTGGCCTTCCCTTCGGAAACTAGTGCGCCTCTTCAAAAAGCAACTAGCTTTGTTCTCCCTATTTAAAGTGATAAAACTGCATCAAGAAAGACCAATAAAATGGAAAAGACAAGGAACAATAAACATCAGGGAGAAACCAACCATTCCATATGTAATATAGCGATAGGGAAGCTCAACTTCCATGCGTTGTCTTGCTTTCCGTACATCGTCGTGTGGGATGCGAAATATTTTACATGCCAGTGGAATAGTGGCTTTTTTCATCCCTACTTTTGTTAACAACAGAACTATTACTCCGATCAACAACCGCAATATGGCTTTTCCAAACACAGTCACAGTGACAGAGGAAAGAGACAAAGGTAAGGTATCGGGATGAGGATCTAGCTTTAGACCCACTATGTAGTTAACGTGAGAGCCACAGGCTACTCCAGCACCACAGCCCAGTATCTGAGCTGTGTCTCCTCGTGATGTGCTCCAGGTGTCCAGAGTAAAAGAGAAGATGCCCAGGGCTAAATGGAGACTGATGATAATTAAGGGTGCATATTTGTAAGTTAAGTTGAAGTTATCAATCAGGTCCACAACTGGATGGAAGACAACCAAGATAAGAATAGCATAAAGAAATCCAGCAATAACATCCTGTTGAAGAAAAAGAAAGATGGTTTCAGTGTAATAACTCTTTCAACAAATAATTTAAGTTACATTCGCAAGAAGACAAGCTTAGTTGCTCTGTTGCTAAAAGCAACTTGTGGTTCCAAATCTTTTCTCATTTACTCTAAAAGATTAAATCTTTATGTTAAAGATAAGGTAAGGAATTGCATTTGATCACCTATTAATAGGACACCTGCATCATGACCAGATCTTGAATTACCATGAATTAAGTTATGATCAAATGATCCATGACCAAACAATGTTGTAGACCTACAGACTTTTCAGCAGGGCCTGCAGTGACAGGACAAGGTTTTAAACTAAAAGAAGGTAGATTCAGGCCTGGATATCAGGAAGAGATTTTTTACGGGAGTAGTAAAACACTGGAACAGGTTGCCCTGACAGGTGGTAGATGCCCCATCCCTGGAAACATTCAAGGTCAGGCTGGCTGGGGCTCTGAGCAACCTGATCTAGTTGAGGATGTCCCTGCCCATTGCAGGGAAGTTGGACTAGATGGCCTTTAAAAGGTCTCTTACAATCCAAACCACTCTGTGATTCTACCTGCTATCTGCAATGGTCCTTGTCTAGGGCCAGGGCATTCCAACCTACAGTCAGCACAAAGCTAGCCCAGTTAAATCAGTTCTGCCAACTTACTTTGCTGGAAAAGCTCAACACCGGACTCAAGTGTCTGGAGGCCAACACACAGGCGTGCTGGTAGCAGCAGCTGGTAAGGCAGTCAAGGACCACTGCAGCTGGACATTAGAGCAGCCTGGACTTACACTATAGAGGATTCAGATATGGAACTGCTGAATAACCTAGATGACATGATGCTATTTGTTGTATAACTTTGTTCTGAGACATTACCTGTCAGCTGACAATGTCAGCTGAAATACCAGTTTATCCCATTATCCTCCACACAAGTGCTTCTGACTTGGGAAGCCTCCCAATCACTAATGCAAAGACGTCGTTCAGTTTTTCTGAGCTGCCTTATTTTCACATGCTCCTTTAACACTGTTCATTTACCAGCATTCGTACTCACTACAAGGCTTACTGTTTTCTGGCTTTAAGCTTTTCTCATGCTAGCAAGTGATCCTCAAAAACCTCTTTAGCCATCCTTATTAGTGGTTTCACGTTCCGATTACCATTTTGTAGTGACCTTGTTTTCCCTTCTTTACGTTGCATGCATTTGTGTTTCAGTTTGGTTTTTTTAAATCCTTGGTAATAAATAAGTCTGTTTTTCAAAGATGACAATTTTGTCATCTCGTTCTTTAGCAACTTTGGCAAATGAAGCCCTAGCATTTAGCATGGCGCTCTGAAATGCACGTGCTTTGAGTAGCTGATGTGGAACACGAGTGGACATTGACAGCCACTCTCTCATCTTGCAAAATTATTTCTATTCTGCAGAGGAAAATCTAGTCTACACTTCAGGGCAGTCCTCAACTTCTGCACTAAAACTGCTATTAAACAACAGCTAAGTTTCAACTGTGGATTGAGTTTAAGAAAGAAAAATATAAATTAACATAAGTTTGAAATCCACTTTTAGCTATTGTATCAATTTCTCTGCTGAAGAAATGTAAGTATTCTGTTATTGTATGGTAGGACATTCTAAAAAGTTACAATTACTGCACTGTAAAAACTGAAGTGTGATGGAAGTTTATGAAAGCAGAACAACACTGAAATAAAAGTATTAATAGGATTATTTTCTTACCAAAATCGAATGCATTCCCATATAAATTCGACTACAGCAAACCAAAGAACACCAGCAGAATGCAAGGATCAGTCCAAACATAAGGGGATACTGGTAAGGAAAAAAAATGAGATATTATATTAGAATTTAGGAAAAAACCCACAAACCTCTAAGAATTCTATAATTAATTCCAATTAATGCAACCTATGCTTACCCTTTTTCTTGCCCCACTCTACCGAAGCCTATTAAACCACCTCACGTAAGTACACTTACAAGTCAAAACATTACTAAGTCAAACTTCTTCAGCTTTTTCCTTGTCCTCTTCCTTCGCATTCAGGATACATGAATTTCAGGGCATTGTTCATATCTTTTCAGACAGAACACTAAGAACTTAATAGATGTTTGTAGCAGTTAGTCTTGCCATGTTATGATATCCTGAATTGGCAACATGGGCAGAGACAAGCCTTGTGATACAAACTGTGGAACAGCTTTCTACTGGGTGAAGCAGCTACACAGTATACTAGTATTGGTAACAATTATCCAGGCAGAATCTAGTAGCTTCGCCCTTCTGAAAAGGAAGGATTCATAATAATTTACAAACCAATTCAACTCCTTACATGCTGTTTTAGAGTTTCTGCAATCCTTGGCTCAATCTCTGAACATCAGTATGAAATTCCTACAACAGCTCTCTTTTTTTCCTCTACAAACCCATATAAATTTCCACTGTTATTAAACAAAATATATTAAACAATTATTTCCAACTATTTTTATCTTCAGATATAAGATTTCTTATTAAAAAGGACTGTTTACCAGGAACAAAATCTTGTTTTAATAAGCACATACCAGCACGTGTAGAAACTCAATATTTTAACGTTCTTAGGTTTTGGGTAACAGTATGCTAATTCACGTCTTACAGTACAGTAAGAAATACTTCCCCACTACTATATTGCAAAATGTTGTACAAGACAGGATACAGCTTCCTTTTTTCAGTATTCAAAATAATTATTACTTCTATAAAAGAAGCAGTCACAAGACAAAATGGCATGTTTCCAAAATTGCTTCACTTCCTACAGGAAAGCAATGATAAACATTTTCAATATAAACAGGCAGTCTAGATATAGTCTAATCTCAGAACAAAAAATAAGAATTACAGGCAGTTTTCTGGCCTTTTCCCTGGCTCCTGTTATGGGCAACCTGAAGGGTGGAGTATCCAACAAATTAGAGAAAGTATCTTTAGTCCTACTGGCGAAAGCTGTATGTCCTCTGTGAAGGCCACTTAACAGTCTGACAAGCTTCAAAATCAGTCTTTCACAATAAAAGGTTTGAGAAAAGATGATAAATTTTCTGCATTATTCCAACAGTCTTTGAACTCTCAGCTCGTGTTAGCATGACTAACACCAAAAAAAGTCTCAAACTAACAGAAAATCAGAAAGCTTACATTTCACATAAGAAACAGCTCTCACATGGAAATCAATTCTAAATGCCCAACTCACAGTTGTATTACATCTAGTTTAAAGTCTATTTCCTGCAGCAATATTTGGTTTTGTTTCTACTACATTCATCCCCAATTTGCACCTAAACAAAGTTATGTACTTAATGATTCATTTACAACTGAAATTATGAAGGAACAAATGCAGTTTTCTGCCTTTCAGAATTAGGCAAATAACAGGCAATACACCAGTAACAAGGTCACACTCAAGACATGATTGCAGAGTTATCAGATGCTGACATTGTTATGGCAGCCGCAGAAGCAATCCTTGTACCCTGTGCCACACCACCAGAACATATTGCAAGTGTAGCCCCATCCCCATTATGCCTCTACCATCATTTCCACTGATCTCAAGGTAGAAGTAGGGCTGCCTGCACCAGGAAGACATTGCAGCCACACGACCTCCCTGCCTGGTACTGCTCCACTCTTTCAAAAAAGCAGAAATGCTGTATATACAGGGATAGGTACATCCTATATCCTTTAAAGTGAACAGGAGCTTCTAGCACCTCTTTACATGCTCTGCAAGATGAAAACCTGGAAAGTCAGACTTCGTGTTTGTCAGAGACCAGCAAGGGAGGACTTATTACCTCCAGAAGTAATGCAAATCTCTTGACCAGAAAATTTAATAGCATCACAATTACTTGCTGGTAGAATGAGCTTGTACATGTTCATGCACGTGTCAGGAGTTTCAAACAGTTTTGCCCATCACTTGATACCATATGTCCATTGTTGTTTCCTGGCACACATCTTTTGTGCTTTCAGGCTCCAACCAGGCATAAGGCTTTTCTTTAATAACTAAAGACTTTTCCTGCATTTCTGAAATACCTGACAAACAGAAGCTGGAGCTTTAGCAGGAGGATGAACAAAGTGCCAGGCTCAGCAGGCTGTAGCAGCTAATGATACTGCGGGTTACGAAGTTGGGATTGCAGAGGAGAAGAGGCTAAAGCAGGTAAACAGCAAGACCCTAAGAACAAGCATGAAGAAGCATGAAGGAAACAGTGTACGTGAGGGGTCTTGTTTTAAGTGTCCTGGGTAGGCTGTTGTAAACAGCAAGGAGAACAGGATAAACTCTGGAAGTGGAAAGAAATGCTTGCTCTCAGTTAGGAGCTCTCAAAGCAGAGATGTTTGAGGCAGAAGAAAACTGACAGAAACTCCAAATTTGAATAAAATTTTGGAAAGAATACCTGGCTTTATCACACCTTACTCTAATTCTGTTTTTTAATAGTATCGAGAATAAATGCCCATTAAAAAAAATCTGAAAACACTGGCTAGTTTAGTTACTGTGTAGCAAAGCATTTGTATCCAAGAGCTCAAACACTTCCCTACTGCGTCTCCAGTAAAAAGCCAATTATACGTTTAACCGTGATTCATCTTCTTAAAGTAATGAAGAATTTTTAACTTCAACCCAGACAAATTATTCTTGCTGAAATAGCTTTAGCATGACCTGTCAAAAATGTATCTGCAATATTAGACACATGATGATTTATATTTTAATATGGCAGTAATAACCACAGAAGCTTTAAACCCGGTTTCTTTCCACCCAAGACAGCTTATTCACTACAGTATACCCAGCTGTACTACATGCAGTCCACTATCAAAAGGCAGAAGATTGAAACAATTATTCAAATTTCCTCTATAATAATATTCCATAATACATCAGTTTATGTCAATTTTTGTGACTAGTTCCCCCCCACAGTATTCTCATTTATGCTACCACTGCATAACCAGCACACTTAGACAACTGTCAGTTTATGTTTATAGCTTACTTATCAGTCAGTAAAATAACTATCAGTTTAGATAAATACCTCTTTATACATAAAGTACAGAAATAAAATTTGATCTACAGAAGATTTTTAACCTTTATCTGTCCTAGTTTCTTCCAATGTTATATCCATACCTCCCTCCATTGCTCACGTAGCCAATCTAATTTTCTTCCCACAACCCTCGTACCCACCTGCAGAGCATCATAAAGCCATGTACACCCTTTGGGGCTCCACATTTCAGTGGTCTCCTTAGACATTAGCAGAACTCAAGCAGAAGAGCTCACCTACTTCAACAGAAATAAAGCACAACACTCCGCCTCTTCCTTGGCCTGTTTTCACTCCTACCTTTTAAAAGCAGCCACTGGGTTCAAGAATTCCTAGAACACCAAACTGGTAGCACCTGCTTAAAATCTGCCTTGAGGTGATGAGGCAACCATGTATTCTGCCCTCACATGTAGGGATAAGCATACAAGGTGACTAAAGGAGAACATTAACACTCCCACACACCTTGCAGCTCAGCAAGAAGAGACTGCTCAGCAGCTTGCCAAGTCGTAACAGCAACAGGGGACATCACCTTGATACTTATAAAAAAAGCTGATGCCATAAATTTACTTCCAGATTATTATCTGAAAATAAAGCAATACTGAGGTACTAACAAACATTTTCTAAATGTTGTTTCATCTAGAAAATGACTGCCTGTATGTATTTTGCATATATACACTGGTTACACCACAGTTGTGTATCTGTAACCTTGCACACTGCCTAAGCATAAGAAATCCCCCAAATACCAAACATCATCTATTAGTATAGTAGCGTCTTAGGAGTATTAACATTTGCTATCAGCCTCACTTTATAATAAATAGTGGATTTCACAAAGCTTCTCTCTCAGTCGTAAATGATTCTTCAAAGAAAACAAACAAAAAACCACAACCCAACAGTTTTTTCTATGTTTTCTACTTAAAATAGGCACACTTTATGAAAGACTAGTTTATATTTAAGTTTTCACATTAATTTCAACTGTTCATGGAAGAAAGCCATAAGCACTCTTTTTTGATGTTTGCTTGGATCTTTTATTTTGGAAAGTATTGCATTCACAAATTTGAAAATTAGCAGTTATCAATAATTACCTTTGAATTATAAACTTTTAGATCTTTTCTGTATAGTTGTATATAGACACACCAACAGCCTTTACTTAAATGAAAGTTATTGCTGAATTCCAGCAATTTTAACCCCGTGGTTGCTCGCGTGCCAAATCAGACCTACAGAGGCACAAAGGACAAAAGATAACAAGTTCACTTCTACCCTCTTCCCTAATTCATTTCTGTTCTTACTCATTTAGGCATCAAAAGGCAGACTGGCATTGTATCCTTTCAGATGAGTCTCTGAAAGGCTGTCAGAGATCACAGCTGGCAGTGGTAGACATAAAAACCAGGTTTCATTCTCTCAGCTTGTTCTTTCTGATAACAAAATTGACTTATCTTCATTCTTGACCATGCTTAAGTCACTTTGAGTCAGATATTCAGAAACAGTTCATTTAAGACACAAACATCTCAAACTCTGGGTGTTGATTTTGGCTGAGATAGAGTTAATTTTCTTCATAGTAGCTGGTATGGTGGTGTGTTTTGGATTTGTGCTGGAAACAGTGTTGATAACACAGGGATGTTTTAGTTACTGCTGAACAGTGCTTACACAGCATCAAGGCCTTTTCTGCTTCTCACCCGACCCCACCAGCAATTGGGCTGGGGGTACACAAGAACCTGTGAGGTTACACAGCGTGGGACAGCTGAGCCCAACTGACCAAAGGGATATCCCACTCCATATGGGAAAAGGGAAAAGGGAAAAGGGAAAAGGGAAAAGGG